GTCAATGTAGGCTCACCAATTGTAAGAAATGTACCACTCCTGCAATGGTTGTCGGTAGTAGGGAAGGCTTTGCATGTGTTGGGTGTATATGAGAACTCCGTACTCTGCTAAATTTTGCTGTGAACTTAAATTTTAAATAAAGCCTATTTGAAACAAAACAATTTTTAAGGAGGAGGGGTGGAGTTTGAAATTCGGTTTTAAAAGAAACATTTTCCGATTAAAAATGTTAAAAGTTAATCAGTTCTACGTAAATGTCTGATTTGAGTTTCTGTGGGGTTTCTTTACAGTGCTAACATTGATTTGAAAGAGAAACACAACGCAACTGCATAAGAAACAAAACCTGGATGGACAGATAACATACCTTTCTTAATGTAGGGGGTTAGTCAGAATGTATCTGTCAGTAGACCAGATATTAAAGGACTTTTTATTTGGATTATCCTGTGATTAATGAGAGATTTTATCTTCCAGATTGAGGTAGCAGTGGAGGTGGGTAGAGGCAGAGATCATGGAAACCTCTAAGATCAGAATTAATCCAAAGTAGGAAAAGCAAAAGCTTTTCTGAAATTCAAAATGAGAGGCAAAGCTTAGATGTTTACTGAGAGATGTCAACTAGTCCTTAGCGTTTATTGTTCTTTAAATCTTGCTCTATCCATTGCTTCTCATAAATCCAAATGCTCAACTATCTTAAGAACAAGATCTCTTTTTATTTAAAAATAATTTCAGGTGGGTGGGTTGTGAGCTTTACTGATTTAGGTCTTAACCATGTGGTTCTCAAATCGTGGTCCCTGGACCAGCAGCCTCTGCATCACCTGGGAGCCTGTTAGAACTGCAAATTCTCAGACCCTAACCCAGAAGCACTGAACCAGAGACTCTGGAGGTGGGGACCAGCCGGGTGTGTTTTCAACAGGTCGTGTCGGTGATTCTGATGCTCACCAAAGTCTGAGAACCACTGTCTTAACCAAACTCTGAGGCTTGCAAAAGCAAGATTCTGCTCTTTCCTTCCTGGCAGCCACCAGACCTGGGAATTTGTTGATATAGGGTCTTGGAGGCAACAGTCAACTTTCCTAGAGCTCGCCTTGGATTTTCAAGCTTAATAGTCATTGGTAAGGTAGTCGTTCTTACCCTATCAATAAACTTACTTGATGGCCATTTACTTGATGGCTATCCAAAGGTGTACTGCTTCCTCCTGCCTCATGCATAATGAAAGAAAGGGCAGGCCAAGAAGAATATGGAAGGAGGGAGTTGTTAAAAATATAACAAGTTTAATTTCAGTGACAGAAGGGATACCTAAAGTGTAGAATCTACACTGTAGATGAGGGTGAGTTCTTAATGGAAAAAGAACGGTCTCATTCATTGTTGGCTCCTTTTTGCCATCCTTCCCTTCCCCTGAGCCCCTCTCCCCTAATTTACCCAACCTGCCACCAGGACTCTCGCCCTACCTACACCTTGGAGCTATTTCTGAATAATTTGAGTAACAGAGAGGAGAAAATAAAAGGGAGAAACTACATTATCGCACCTGAACACAACTGCCAGCCTCACAGTCTCTAGCCTTTCTATGCGCAGACTTGGTTCTACAGTCAAATGAGATGACGTTTGAGATCATTTACACCCTGTTGCAGACGGTAGTCTGGTGTGGGGCTTCAGAATACACACCAACCCACCCCAGCTGCACCGCGACCCAGCTGAGAGCACATGATCCCACCTTTGTAAGACTGAGTTACCTCATCTCTAAAATGGGGAGACTCAAAGCGTCTCTCATAGGATTCTTAATGAAGATTAAATGAGATCGTCCAAGGAAAGCATTTAGAACCATGCCGGGCACATATCAAGGGCTGGCTCACTGTGAGCTATTAGGATTATTATGGAATTGTCTCTGAGATGCTTCTCAGCGTTCAGCAGCATCTTCAGCATTTCTAGACACAGCAACAGGGTGTTGAGAAACCAGGAGGCATACAGGTAAATGTGTGAGGGTGGCCGAGATGGAAGGTGGTGGAAAAGCAGCTAGCAACACAACAATTCATCTGTTTGTTAAAATACTTTGCTGTGAGGTATTTCTGTACAAGGCCATCAGTCTTGTGTTTGAATTACAACAGTGATTTTCAACAGGAGTTGAGGCCAGGGGGTGGGATGGGGAGACGTTGTCTCCCAAGGGGATATCTGCTAATGTCCGGAGACGTTTATTGGTTGCCACAGCTTGCTCCTGGTATCTAATAGGTGCCAGAGATGCTACTAAACATTCTACAATGCATAGGACAGTCCCTCACAACAACAAAAAAAATCTAAAAAATGTCAAGACGACAGAGGTTTGAGAAGCCCTGAAGTACAACATTGGGTGACATTATCTTAATAAGACCTGGCACATTATTTTCAATTTTCAAAAAGATAATGGCATGGAAGATTCTGCATTTGATGGGAGGTGAGGATGGGTGATGTCTAAGAGTCCATCAACTCTAAGGCTTGATATATGTAGTTGACCCTCAACCACAAACAAGTCAGTGGGGCATTTCCCCCTTCTCCCCTTTGCCTATTTCTTTTCCCTAAAGACAAACTGAATTTTTGAAAAAGATGGTTAGATATTAGAAGGTAACCCTAAGACTTTAGGGGAAATGTTTCTTGCTGAAACAAAGAACATTAATGATACTTAGAAAATTCTAAACCTGGAAGAAAACTTAGACATGACCTAGCAACTGGGTTTTAGTTCAAATCTTTCATCATGTTTCATAAATGAAGAAATTGAGATTTAGAAAGGCCCAGAAACTTGACCTAGGTCATATAATGTTACAGTCATCAGAAGGTCCAGATTCTTCCCAAATATTTATTTAACTTTTTAGTGAGACCATGATAATATCAGGAGTCTCCTCTTTGTGCACTGGCTCCGCATCACCCCCCTCCCCCATGATCACAGTCTATATCTGTTCCTATTTCCAGAAGGAAATCCGTGAATATGAGTTTTGCCTGATAAGGTAGTGGCAGTGAGAATTAAAAAAAAAAAAAAAGAAAAGATTGAAGAGGTACTTAGGGGAAAAGAATAAAACCTGCCTATTAAACTGAGATCATTACTGATAAAGGAAGAACAGAAATAAAAAGTGAGCATTGCCCTGGCCGGTTTGGCTCAGTGGTTGGAGCATCGACCCGCGGACCAAAGTCATGGGTTCAATTTGGTAAGGGGCACGTACCTTATTTGCGGTTCGTCCCTGGCCCAGGTCAGGTCATGTGGGAAGCAGCTGGTTGATATGTCTCTCTCACATCAATGTTTCTCTCTCTCTCTCTCTCTCTCTCTCCCTCTCTCTCCCTCTCTCCCATTCTATTTGATGATAAATGGAAAAATATCCTCAGGTGCGGATTAAAAAATAAATAAATAAGGTGACCATTTCCCAGCAAGGTGACATGAGGATGCTGTGGTTCAATAACAGATGGTGAAATCAGGAGGTGGTTTGAGGTAGCAGGTCGCTTAGGCTGGGTTTCACGTGCTGTGCTTTGGGACAGAAGATGAGGGTTGAACAGTGTCAGTGAGGTCCAGCAGAATTGAGTGGAAGAAGACACGTTTAATCTGTTGGTTATGAGGCAACCAACTAATTAAAGGTTATGGTTACTCCGGCTTCGGGAGTAAAATCCAGGTAACTCAGAGATGCCAAAAGCATCACTGTGCTCTGGGCCCCAGGATCTCCGGAAGCTCCTGCTGGCTCTGATGCGCTGCATTTAAATGACCACCCGCTCAGCTGTATAATAAAATTTATAACAAATATGTTTCCCATGGGGGGAAATGATGCAAACACAAGAGAAAATTAATTTGGGGTTAGAGTGTATGGGAAAAAGAAAGACAAGATTAAAAAATGCCTCGAGAATGCTGCACACACCCCCTCGCTTTTTACTAATTTTCCCCCACACTCGATACTTCCAAAACTCGCGAACTCCACGAGTCTCGCGGCCTGTCCTGACTTTTTCCTCGAGTTTAGGGCACTGCATCCATCACCAGTGTCCTTTTCCTTCAACACCTGTGCTCACCAGCAGCACACAGCAACCTGTCCCTCATCACTGATGCTGAAGTTCCACACAGGGGACCCGGCAAACACGCCCACCCCCACCCCGGGTATCAGCCACAGCTCTGTGACCTGGGGAGTCACCCCAGCAATATCAAAACAAGGAGAGCAAACTTGCCTCAATGTCCTTCCATCAAAAGCCACCTTCGGTGCTGCCAAATCTGTATCCTCAGAAACATTTTTGTTCATTTTAACGGACTAGATGAAAATCCAAGCCAACATTTTTTCCTTAACGTTGAAATCTATAGAAAGACCAGCAGGTGCCGGGGATTCCCTCACCCCTGCCAGCCACCCCTTCCAAAGACAGCCAGCAGCACGGCGGTACACACTGGGCAGCGAGCTGAGGGGCAATGCATCTTCAGTTGGGCCTGGGATTCTGTGACAAGCAGCCGCAGGACGCTGGTCCCGGCAGTGACGGCGAAGCTTCATGCAGCACAGCGTGCCCACACGTTCACAGTCACTCGCACACAGCCCGCGAGACACTCAAGGCATGTATATCTCGTCACATACACATACGGTTAGACAGAGTACACTCTCACTCATTGCACATGCAGGACCATCCGTACAGTCCACATGTGTCTGGTTACACACGTATGGATGCATACATAGCCTACGTTCTCTCCCATTCTCTCTCTCTCTCTCCCCCCCCGCCCCCCCTCCATTCACACACAACCTCCCAGAGTCAGTGAAGACACAAGCAGTTTCACAAGTACTCACGTAAGCAAGTGCAGGGCGCCAGCCCCAACCCCACAGTGGTCCCAGGCTGGAGACATGTCCTGCACAGGCAGCCAGCCCACCTACAACCTGAGCCGGCGCGTAGCCCATCCCTGCGGCAAAGCCCAGGCTCTGGAGTCGGAGCCCCCACGCTCCACGCCGGGTTGTGCCACCCCGCCCCCGCCGCGTCCCCACGGACACACGTGGGCTCCCAGGCTCCTGACCCCGGGCACCGGCCGCACCTACCCGCTGCCCGAGGCGACGGAGCAAGGCGCCCTGGCAGACTGGAGCGGCCACCCCCAGCCGCGGAGCCGAGCTTCTGCCGCCGCCGCTGCCGCTGCGCTCCCCGCCGCCGCCTGCGCCCTCCCCGCCGCCCCCTCGGGCGCCGGCTCCAGTGCCCGTGCGGGGAGGCCGCCGGGCTCCAGGCGCGGCCCGGGCTGCGGGCTGCAGCACCCCGACCTGGCTCACCTGGGCGCGCCTCGCATCCTCCTCCTCTCTGGCCAACGGAGCCCATCCCGGCGGACTCAACAGCCCCAGCCCGTGCGGTCCCCGCTGTCGCCCCCACCGGGCGCGGGGGACGGCGGGGGCGCGGCTCGGGCGGCCCCGCGCAACGGGGAGTGGACGCAGACACCCGCGGGAAGGACCTCACCCTTCGGGGCTGGCCAGCCTGCGCCTTCCTGCAGCGACCACTATCCTGAGCTCCTGGGTGACCTTGGGCAAGTTGGTTAACCTCTCTGAGTGCCCATTTCGTCTATTGTGAGATAAACATGAAAGCTGAAAGCGCTCGCGGTGCTGGTGCCAAGGGGAAACCCTAACCCTCTACAGCTTACTTCCGTATGCCTGGGGCTGCCAGGGCAGGGTTAGATGGGAGCAGGGTTCAGAGTGAGCTCCATTGTCCCTTAGAGGCAAGGCTCCCACGTTTCCCGAAGGTAATGTTTCATTATCCTGAAGTTTTCATAAGTGATCCTGCCAATATTTGTGAGTCCACGATTTGCTTTCCGTACCTGGAGGTAGGTTTCTCCCAGTTCTGTCCACTTGGGATCTTGAGTCAAGCCTCAGTGCTCCCATCTGTAAAATGGGAACCATAAACTGGCGCTTGTGTTGAGACTTAGCAAAGTCCCTGCCCTTTGTCACCTAATGCCTGTAATATCTGTGAGGAACTGTGACAGAATGCAAAACATTTTGCCTCCACACATCTGATAAAGGCGTCAAGTTGCAGGGACAAAGCAGGTCCAGAGTTAAGGCATGTTGGGAAGGGGAAAGAAGAACCTTCCTTTGGTGAGACAGGTGAGGGGTGGAAGGGTCGGCCAGGCGGATAATTCAACCCCTATCAAGCACCACTGAGTCTGCATGGAAGCTTGACAGACAGAAGCCGTGACAGTATCTAAGCTCTGAAAGCAAGTAAGTGCCTCAAGACAATCTTAAAAATGATTAACTTACAATTGTGAGTACAACCCAAGCGAACTGGAAATTCAAACTGAGCGTGCCGGAAACTTGGGTGGGTCCCTTTCTCAGCCTCTTTCTCTGTGAATCTTTCTGTCTCTCATCTCCTGGTTCTTTTGCTGTGTCCATCTGCCTCACAGCCTACATTTCTTCCCCATTTTACTCTTACATTTTCTCTCTTCCCATTGCAGCCTGCCTCTGACCTTCACCTCTTCTTTACCATCTTTGTACTTTGTTTCTGTCTCAACACCACTCACTCTCAGTCATTCTGATCCCCACCTGTTACTTCTCTCCTTGGTGTGTGTATGTCCTGAGTCTTTATTCATCTTCTATACTCCCCCCCCCCCATTCAAAATTTAAAGGTGGAAACATTAGGCTATTTATCTACTAAGATATTAAGATCTAAACTTGAATTGATCACTATCCCAAATGCATCTGACATGACACCGTTATTCTCACAGTCATCTTTGCAGACTCCGCCCCCGTTCCCCTTCTCCCCACTCTCCACTCTACCACTTGCCAGTTCTGAGGGAGTCTGTCCCCGCTCTGCCTCTGTCATCTGTCTTTTCCTCCCTCCTCCCACAGGACTGAATCATATCTTTTCTGGAATCACCAAAAAGATCTAACTGGTCTCTGCCTTCTAGTCTTTCCTCCTTCCTGATGTCGGCATTGTCTTCCTCCGGCAGATCCCTGGTGGTATCACTCTTGCTCCAAAACCCTTATTCCACAAAGACAGAAAACATCTTCCCAAAGGTAATCACATCCTGACGCCAGGAACCTGGGAATATATTCCTGCACATGGCAACAGGGACTTTGCAAGGGTGATTAAATTAAGGACCATAAAATGTGAGATTATCCTGGATTGTACAAGAGGGCCCTTAACAGTGTGCCTGGACGTCTAAGAGAAAGGCACCAGAGAGATTCGAGGTGAGACGGACTTGAACAGCTGTTGCTGGCCTTGACGATGGAAGAACGGGTCCCGAGACCAGGAAGGCAGAAGGCCTCTAGAGGCTGGGGAAGGCAAGGAAACAGAATCTCCACTAAAGTCTCCGGGAAGGAAGGCAGCCCTGCAGACACTTAGATTTAAGTGTCATGAGACTGACTCGGGTCAGACTTCTGATCTAGAGAACTGTACGATAATACATTTGTGTTGTTTTAAGCCAGTAAGTGATAGGTTGCAGCGGCAATAGCTAATCACACTCCTCTCTTTTGCTCATGGAGGTACATACAAGTGTCTTATTTTGTTATTAAGGGCAATCCGAGGTAGTCCTTACTTTTAGCCACTTTGCTGTACCCAAACCTTGCGTTTTCAAGCAATCTGTTCCTGGAACACCCACCTTCTCTTCTTCTCTCGTCTGTACCAGTGCTCACAATGTCCTCTCCAGATGTTGCCTGCCGTCCCTCTCCTTGGTGCTCACGGATTCCACGGACGTGTTCCTGATCTCTCCCATGTTTGATTTCCCAGAACTTTGTATTTTCTCAAGGTATATCCCATTTCAAATGGTGCTTTTTAATGGAGAGAAGGGAGGAAAAGAGAGGAGAGGACTCTCAAGGCACAGGTTGAAACTGCTCCTGGCTCTCTGCTCCCTCGACACTGTGGTCATCTCTGTACTGTAGCGGTCACCACCACGCTTGGTGTTTGTGAGTCATTTATATGTCTGCATGGCCCAGCATGGTGAGTGCTTCCAAGGTGGAGACCCATCTTACCTCCCTCTGTGTATCCAGTCCCTTGAGCCACCAGATGTGCAGTAAGGACTCAGTAACTGTTTTGTGAATGAATGGAGCAAGTGCAACATCTGGCTGTGCTGAACAGACAGGGCTGCCAGTGAAATGTCTTGCATCATCTGTCTCTATTTAATGGAGCTGGTTAATTGAAGTACCTAAGTTAAAACGATGTGGTTTTAAATGGGTCTGCTTTGATGCATACCTTGAAACCTAGACTTTTCTTTTGTTTTATGTTTGTTTTTGTTTTGCTTTTGCTAGAGAAGAGTTCCACAATAAAAGGGCTATTTTTATCAGTTTTATTTGAAAAGGGATACTTTTGCAATTAAAGTATTATCAGCATACAAACTCTTTGGCCTAACAATTCTACTTCTTAAAATGTATCCTAAAATAAGCCTACGTACACAGAGATTTACCAACGAGAATGCTCACAGCAGGATCTTTTATGAGAGTGAATAATTAGAAACAGCCCAAATGTCTAACAATAGAAAATTAGCTGAATATATTATCCTTACCATGATATACCATTCAGGTATTAAACATGATTTTGTCAATTAATGTTTCTTAGATGGAAAAATGCTTATGAATATTTTATATTCTTTTTATACAGTAAGTGTAAATCGTAACTACCATACAATAAGTGTAAATTTAAAAGTTAAGTTCAATTTTTTTAAAAAAATAGCTTTGCCTCCAAAGAGAGTTATAGAAAAGGTTGATGTTTTTCCAGGTTCCAAGAAAACCCATTTACCAGTGAGATTCAACTTCTGATTATGATAAAAGAAGGAAAAAGTCACAAAAGGCTTGAAATACTATCTGGGCTTATTGTCATCCTATTAATTTATTCATTCTAGGAATAGTTATTGTACTATCTCAATTAAGGCCTTTGATAGCAAGCAACAGAAAAGGATCCTAGCTAACAAGCACCAGAAAAGTTATTGGGCCCAGCCGGTGTGGCTCAGTGGTTGAGCACCAACCCATGCACCAAGAGGTCACTGGTTCAATTCCTCCTGGTCAGGGCACATGCCCAGGTTGTGGGCCTGATCCCCAGTAGGGGGCATGCAGGAGGCAGCCAATCCATGTTCTCTCTGATCGATGCATCTCTTTAATCTCTCTCTTAATCTCTTTAAAATCAATACAGAATAAAAAAGAAAAGTTATTGGAACTATTTAGGGGCTCACAGAATAATAACTGGGATTCTAGAAGCCAGGCTTGGAGAAGCTGGTTCCAGAAGAGCTCCAGAGAACCAAAACGTAGAAAGCGCAGCAACTAATTCACAGAGAAACTCCATCGGGGACAGTGGGCCGTCCCTCCTGACAACGAATGGCCTCCATCAGCCCCTCCCTCCCTCCTCACCCAAGTTCACAGTCTCTGGAGAACACACCAGACTGGCCACGGTTAGCTTTGCGTCTCCTTTTCCCCCTGCTCTGAATCAGAGTGAGGAAGGAAAGAACCTGGTCTCTCCACCGAGACTGCACACCATGGGGAGACTTTATTTCCCCAGTGACTTTGGGGTGTTGTCAGGAAGTTCAAATGGAAGCTGGCAGCCTGAAAATAATAAAACGGCCACTACAAGCTCTTTTGCTGTGTCAGGCTATTCCAGCTTCCTGGTTTGGAAACGGGGCAGGGAAACCGAGGCACCAGGAGGCTGTTGTACCAGTGGTTACACAGTGCAATGGTGGTTAGAAGTTTGCCCTTCTCTGCCCAGCCCAGATGGAAGGTGACGGGAGAGAGACTGAGGCCCCGGGAGCAGATGTGTGGTGTCTTCCCCAGTTCCTGGAGGAGGGGCGGGTGCTCAGGGCAGGACCCTCCAGTAGCAGTTGCTCAGTGGATCACTCCGAATTCAGCTCCAGCAGCCCAGAAACCCCACTCAGAGGAGATGAAAAAGTCTTTGGTTCCATTATTTCACTTATAAACTTGAAACATGTTCAGGTTTACTACTTTTAAATTGCAGAAACCATGACTGTTTTTCTCTTCTGGTTGTTCACACCCTGCGTCACTCGTCCACGTGTCCTGTCGTGTACTCACTGCATAGCAGCCGAAGCACCTTAGTGGCACCGCTCCAGGGGTTATCTTAAAAGTCTCAGAGCTGCCCTGGCCGGTTTGGCTCAGCGGTTAGAGCGGCGGCCTGCGGTCCAGAGAGACCCAGGTTCGGTTCCCACGAAGGGCACATACCTCGGTTGCAGTTTGTCTCCGGCCCTGGTTGGGTTGTGTGGGTGGCAACCACTCGATGTGTCCCTTTCACATTGATGTTTCTCCCTCTCTCTCTCCCTCCCGCTCTACCTGAACAAAAAATGGAAAAAAAAATTTTCCTCGGGTGAAGATAAAAAAAAAAACTCTCAGAGCTTGTTTTAAGCCATTTTGCTTTGGGTGTCCTAGCTATAGAATGGAGCCGTGTGTGTGTGTGTGTGTGTGTGTGTGTGTGTGTGTGTGTGTGTGTGAAAGAGAGAGAGAGGACAGACAGAAAACAAAGAGGAAGGAACAAAGTAGATGGAAATTAAATTCCAATTCCAAA